AACAAGAGAGAGAAAATCAGTAATTGAACATCTTTCCAGCCCTGGCTGGTATAACTCAGTTGGTTGGATGGAGCGTCATCGCATAAAAATGGAAGGGCCACAGGTTCGATTCCCAGTCAGGGCACATGCCTAGGCTGTGGGTCCGGTCCCCAGTTGAGGTGCCTACAAAAGGCAGTCGATCGATGTTTCCCTCTCGCATCAATGTTTCTCCCCCTCCCTTCCTCTCTCTCTAACACATCCTTGGGTGAGGATAAGAAGAAAACACCTGTCCACAAAAAATAGCCCAGAATCAGATGGCTTTACTGATTAATTCTAGTGAACTTTTAAAGACAGATTAATACCAATGACTGTAATTGTTGTGTTGTCCAGTAACACACAAGCACACTCTGCAATGTCCACACAACAATGAAATCGCCTAGCAACACATCTCTCGGAACATGTCCCCATCGCTGTCCTGGGCACCGACCATGGGCACAGCATCTCACCCCAGAGGCCGGGGTGCTGCGCCCCACATTCCACAGGAGGGCGCTCCCCGCAGAGAGCCAGGGCTCGGAGGCCTGGACGCTCCCTGGTGGAACGGGTCTAATCAGAGCCAGGGCTGAGGCCTGCACCAAGTGCCTGCCTCACTAACTCGTTATTGGCTCTGAATGTGCCAGCCTCCAAGCCTCATTTCATCTCCCCGCAAACCCTTGGCTCACTCGGCTGCACTGGGGAAACACCTGCAGAAGCTCATCCTCGAGGTCAGTTTGAGTTTTCAAGGGTCAGAAGCCAGGGCCTCGACCTGATACGGCGGATGTGGGGAGGCAGAGGGCTGGGGCAGAGCCAGGGCCTGCTGGGCAGAGCAGGGAGCAGGTGGGGTGGCAGTCAGGAGCCCGGTCCAACACAGAGGAGCAGGGGTGGGCTGTGAACCCCAGGGGTGGGACAAGGACCCCAGTAGCCGCAGGCACCGAGGCCAGCCCTCCCCCTGGTGTGCAGCTGGGCACCTGCCAGGCTATGGAAAATATCTTCCCAGTTTGCTTGCCCATTTGGGAAATACTCAGACACGATCATCCCAGGAGGGCCTTAGAGCTCGAGGTGGGCACTGCAGGGACCCAGAACCTGCACACACCTCTGCTGACCTGTCAACAAGCCATTCATGCACCCTCCGAACCTCAAGGTGCATGTGGGAGACCCTGTCCAGCCCCCTTGGCTCAGCTGAAGAGGCCGCTGAGTCACTGAGCCCTGAGACTCATTTCATTCATTTCCCATGCCATCCGGCTGTCCCTTCCTCCATCGCTCCCATTTTCCTGACAGCAGAGTCAGCAGCCTCAGCCTAGGCCAGGAATGGTGTTTGAAAGCTGTGTGCACAATGAGCTGGGCTGTGGGGGGCCCACCACGTGGTCAGCTGGGGACCCTCCAGCCAGCCTCACTTTCCGAGACGGGGCCCCTGGACAGGCTGCTCCAGCCCCCCCACCCCCCTCCATCCCTCCTTGGTGCCCGCTTGCTGCAGGCCACAGAGCCCACCCCCAGGGCCGCAGGCAGAGCACCAGCCCCAGACAGACAGCGGGTCAGGTATAAAGGCACAGAGCAGGTGCCTGCCAGGCCCCTCCCGAGGCACGGAGCAGGAGATGGCACGAAGCCAGGCAGTGGGGCCGAGGCTCTCGGGAGCAGCCTTGCTGATGGAGCTGACAGACAGTAAATGGCACACAAGTGAGCATTTAATAATTGAAGATGGTGGTTAGTGCTGGGAAGGAGACCACAGGGAGCTGATAGGAACCAACGGGGTGAAAGGGGAGGAGACATCCTCCTGCTCAAAAGGCTTTCCCAGATCCTGTGAGGAGCCACAGCCTGGCGGCCACAGGCACATGGTCCGCGAGACGTCCTGAGGGTGAGAGACCGGCATGGGGCACCTAGAGGGAGGGTGCAGTGTGGGGCGAGGGTGCGGCGTTGACAGGAGCCAGCCCACACCGGGGGGCGGGAGGGTGGGCATTTTCTAAAGGGCCTCTGGCTGCTGGGGTTGGGGTTCCCAGAAGAAGGCGTTCAGTTAGGAGGCTGTGGGGGCGCTGCGCCTGCGGAGCGGTGGTCCCCTCGCCACCGAGCCTGAGAGGGGGTGCAGTTCCGCTCTTTGCAGATGGAGAACAGTGCCGTGGGGGTGGGGTGCCAGGGGATTGCTTCCCGCCGCGACGCCCCTCACCAGCGGAGTGATCACAGACACACCACGCACCTCCCCAGGGCCTCTTCCCCGCAGTGTGACTGTGAGGGAGAGGGGGGGCTGGGTGGGGAGAGAGCGGGCTGCGCAGCAAAGGGCGTCTCTCACTCAGAGGAGCTGGAAGAGGACAGACCGAGGGCCGACTGGCATGTGATTAGATGCCTAACACCAGTGCTCACAGGGAAATGGGGATCGAAACACAGAGACAGCACCTCGCGCCTGCCCGGATGCCGGCATCGACTCGTCAACGAAGAAGACGTGCTGGCAACAGTGCGGATGAAGGGAAGCCTCGGGCGCTGTTTAGGGCATCCTAAGTTGGTGCCGCCCCTGTGGAAAACAGTATGCAGGGTCCTCAGAACATGAAACATGGAGCTGCCTTATGACCCTGCTGGGTATTTATCCGAAGAAACCCAAATTGCTCATTTGGAAAGATATAAGCACCCCCACGTCCACTGCAGCATTATTTACGAGAGCCAAGATATGGAAGCCATCCGAGTGCCCGTCAATCGGCAAATGGATGAAGAAGATGTAGTGCATACACGATGGAATATTACTCGGCCAGAGCAAAGAGTGCAGTTTTGCCATTTGTGAAAATGTGGCTGGAGCTACAGGGATTATGCTCAGTGAAATAAGCCAGACCAAGAAAGATAAATATCATTTGATTTCACTTACATGTGGAATCTAAAAAACAAAATAAGTAAGCAAAACAGAAAAAATTTGTACACACAGAGAATGTTTTGATGGCTGCCAGATGGGAGAAGGCTTGGGGGCTGGGGGGGAGGAGGAGGAGTTAAGAAGTACAGCTGGGTTGTCACGGGGCCGTCGTGGGGAGGCAGAGCACAGCATGGCACCGGGAAGGGCGTGGATGGTTCCGGAAGAGCCGAGTGCCCTGCCGGGCGGTACCGGACTTATCAGGGTGATCACTTCCTAAGTATATAAATGCCTAATCACTCTGTTGTACACCTGAAACTAATGTAATATTGCATGTCAACTGTGATTGAATTTTTTTATTATAAAATAAAATCAGAGGGCTGGGAGCATATGCAGACCTGCGGGAAGGAAGGGTCTGCTTGAGGACAGCCCTGCTGTGACCGGCGGGGAGAGGGCGGGCGGGTGCGGCAGCTGGAAGCCCAGTGGGCTCCTCTGACTCAGCCTGAGAGACTGGGGAGGAGGCGGGGCCGGGAGTGGGTGCGGGCAGGTGTGCGCACGTGGCAGCGGACAGCTGATGGTGCGTCAGTCCAGCGTCTTTTCTCGCCTTCCTAACGCAGTGCGCAAGGTCCTTGCTGACGGCGAGGAGGGCGCAGCACTGACGTCCAAACGGCCAGTGCCCTGCCCCGCCCTGGTCCAGACCTAGGGGACGCAGGGCCCCCGTGTGACCATTCTTGGGCTTTAGCGCCCTCATCCGTCGGTTCTCCAGCCAGAAATCTCGGTCGCTCGCTCCTTCCTCTGGGGCCGCACTCGCCCTTCCACCCCCTCTTCCGCCGCTACAGCGAAGACAAGTCCTGTCTGTACTCACCGACAAGTGTCTCCCGACCTGTTTTCCCCCATCTCCACTGCCGGCGCCACCCAGGCTGCCCTCGCCGGCACAGGAGCAGCAGGAGCAGCGGCAGCGTGTCCCCATGCCCAGGCCTGCCCCCTCGAATCACTCGGGGTCCCACCCACTCCCCACCCCCTGGGTCATGGCGGAGACAGGCCCGGTGCCTCTCCCACGGCCGCCCTCTGAAGCCCAGTGACCTGGGCATGTTCCGAGCTCTCCCCTCTCCACCTGACACCTCTCTTCCCCTTTCTCTCCCAGACGTCATCCCTCCCCCGCCCCCAGCCACTCAGCCTAGTGTCTGTCCTGAGTGGGGCCAGCCCTTTCACCATGCAATTGTTTTCTTAAACACCTGGTCACTCAAGGAAAATTCTGTGAGTCTGAGATCTTGCCTCTTGCACTCACCTCGAGGCCCCAGTGCTCGCCTCCCTGTGCGCCCACACGACCCACACGGCCCACACTGAGGTCCCGGGGCTGCCGGGGGCAGACATGGACCACTTCGTGGAAAGTGTGTAGGGTTTGAGTTGAGAGGCCTCCTTCCTGGATGAGCTCCACACCCAACCAAGTACGTGGCCTTAGACAAGTCGCTTCTTTCTGCTGTCATCTGTCAAATGGGTGTGTTCATCTCACATTGCTCACAAGCTGCTGAGAAGGTCAGATGCAGTCACGGATGTGCAATGTGCTTTGCCCACCGCAAGGACACCCGAGTCCACATCTCTAGGGACGAGCCACAGCTTGCAGCACCAGCCTTTCCGGAAGCAGCACCTCAGCTTCTAGTCCCGACCCCTTCAAGTACCAGGTGCCCCCGGCTGTGCCCCTAATGCCAGGGCTGGGCCTCAGGCTCCGCCCACACGTTTTCCTCAGGACACAGTCACAGGGCCCTGTGTTTGCTCCTCCCTCTGCCCCAAATGTCCCCCCCAAGTCTCTCCCTTCCATAGAAATGAACCCTCTCCCCAGCAACCACCAAAATGGGTCCTTCAGGCAGGAACAAAGTCCGATTCCTACCCGGGTGGCCAAAGTCCCACACAGGGGCCAGCGGCAGCCGCCTGAAATGAGCGCATTGACCCACCGGTGCAGGGCGGTCATCACCCCACATGGCCACCCCGCCCACCAAGGGCAACAGCTCCCTCTGCCTGCCTCTGGCTCTGGGGCTCGGGGCTAGGGCACCGAAGCCTGGTGCTTGTGGAGGGGAGGCTGGTGGCCGTGGAGGGAGTGCCCGGGGAGGGGACGCTCCTTCCCTGTGGCTCTGACCCTGGCCTCTCCTCTTGTGTTTTGCAGGTCCACCAGTAAGTGCCCTGGACTGTGCTCTCTGCTCCTGAAAGATAAGACGTTTTGTTCTGTCTCTGTAGCACTTCCATGAAAATAATGTTTAGTTAGAGAGGTGTGTCCTAAAAAAAATGAGTCCAGACAGAGGCCACATCTTTTTAAATCTGTAGATGAATGCAAGCGCAGAGCTCAATGGGTGTGACGTGCCCCCGGAAACATCCGTGACCATTTCCCCCCGGGGGCGCCGGCAGAGCCTCTGCCCCTCCTGCACCCCGGCTCCTGGGGCACACAGAATGGTGGGCATCACGCCCACCTTTGCTCACTGTGCTGCAGCAGTTGGTCTTTCTCCATGTGTCTGTCTCACGTGCTTTGGCAGAAAGGGCTCTGGAGTCGGGCAGATATGCCAGGAGTAAGTCTGCTTAGTAACTAGATTCCGGGACCCATCTCTCTTTGCCAAGATATGTTTGGCTCCCTGGGTTGGGCAGCTGGCCACCAGTGGGTTTGAGAAAGGTGGGGCAGGGGGCTGGCATCCCCAGGCAGCATTGAACGCAGGGACAGCCCACCTGGAAATCAGGTTCTTCTCCAAGAAAAAGGACAAGCCTGCCTGTGAGCAGCCTGATAAGTCCTGGCGAATGCACTCAAGAAGCATGTTGAGAATCTGCTTGAGCCACAATGCACCTTCTAGAGGAATTCCTTTGGGATGAGCTGTTTTATTTTTGACTTCCACTTGCCATGACTCATTTCCCGATCGCACCCTTCGGGATCCAGGCTTCTCGAGGCATGCAGCTCCTCACTGAGCCAGAGCGAACCAGCAAGAATGTGTGGATTTACGGGCCACGGCAGCTGTCCGCTGCTGAGTCAGTCCCGGTGATCACACGGAGGCAGCCCGTGTGAACTCGCTGCAGTGCTTCCTGTAGGGGGCTGTGGAGCAGGGGTTTTGAACTTGGCTATAAAACTATTAAGTGCAGTAAGCAATGCAGAACCCCAAAGCTGCTGCCTGAGGTGGATGCCAGCCTTCGAGACTCGGACAGGCAGGCAGTGCTCCGAGCACATGGGGCAGAAGCAGCGATGCCTCCCTGGCCTTACCAGGGCCGGCTTCCTCGGCTCACCCATCGGGGAGCAGCAACAGGCAGGACTCCCTGTCCGCTCTCTAGGACCTTCAGCAGTATAGGAGCACTTTCCACACAGTGGCTGTGACAGTGCTCCTGGGAACCCCATGTCCCCACGTGGCCCTCGCCATGGGTGCTGACCGACGTGGGGAGGACTCACCTGGGTGCATGTCCTGGTGGCTCCTTCAGCCTGGCCCAGTGAGGCGGGAAACGGGTACTCCGAGCCCCAGACCCATCAGAGCCCCGAGTCTCCCCCTAAAGGCACTGGCTACCCACCAGCAGCCTCTGCTGCAAACCTTCGAACACTGGGGGGCAGGGGGCGGGGGGGTAGGTCTGGGGCCCTGACTAAGTGCTAAGTGTTGCCATGTGGTTTTCTGCTGAAAGTCTGATTATTAATGACATATTAATTACCACAGGGGCAATCAGGACGAGATGGCTACCCGGTAATTTGCCATTTATTTTTTGCTCTCTTTGCGCTTTTCTCTCAAGCTGGCATCCTCCCTCTGAGACTTTATTTAACTGTCTGCGCTCCTCCCTCCTCTGCTCCTCGGAGCTCTGGTCTTTCTTTGTGGGGATTAGCAGTAGGTCTGGGTGAGAAGGACCTGCAGGCACGGGGGGGGCTGCCCTGCAGGCAAATCAGCGAGGCTTTGAGAAGGCTTCGCCTTGGTGTCCTGAGCGCAGGGCCTGCCCAGCACTGCTCTTCTCGCCCTTGGCTGCAGAGCGCCCCCTTCCCAGTGCACAGGGAAAGTCCCTGTCCCGCCCACCCTGTGGTGTCACTGCTCAGGTCCCAAGGCTGGCTGGTTCCAGTCTGGCCTTTGTGGTGTCATCACTTGGCAGATCTTTCACAATTAAACCTAAAACTTCGCTTAGGTCTGGACTCAATACCCCCGGCCCAGGCTGGCTGGGGCCACGCAAGGAGCGAGCTGAAAGGCAGCTGGGCGCTGCCGGGCCCTGCACAGACGTCCTGCTGCGTCCAGGCAGGGCGAGCCCGGTGGGGGGAGAGCATGGCCGGTCCCTCATGTCGGAGGCCGCATTTGTTCCGGGCCTCCGGCCAGAGAGATGCAGGGAGGGAAATGTGAGTTGATTCAGGGGACTCTCTAATGGGCAGACCTGCCCAGAACCAGGATGGACTCTTGATGGAGGCAAGATGGGACCCAGGTCTGCAGGAGCTGCCTTCCCGGGAGGCTGGGGGTGATGTGGAGTCAGGCCAGAGCGCATGCCTCTGGCTGGGCGGCCTTGGGGAAGATGCTCCCCTCTCTGAGCTCCAGGTTCCTACTGTGTGAACCGGAGTGAGGAAGACCTCGCCCAAGGCCTCCAGGTTGGGATCAAATGAGGAGGTGAGGGCAGCATAGCACCATCCCAGCCAGGCCCTCGGGGACTCCGTGGGGACCCTGGGGGCATTTACCTCGTGCCCACAGCAGCCCACACTGGATTCGGGGCAGAGCCTGGGCTCTGTCGGGCGGCAGTCAGCCAGCCTCCCAGACCAGAGATGCCCTGTCCCTTGTAAAGCCCCAGCCAGGTCTGCCATCCTCCTGCAGGAGTCCTGGGGGCAGGGCCACGCCTCCCCTGCAGCTTCCCCAGACTGGGGCGGAGTCAGGGCCCTGCCGGGCCAGAGTACTGGGGAGCTGAGGTGTTTCTGCCTCGTGTCTTGGGACCCGTTCACTTCGCCCACTCAGGAGAACCGGAAACTTTCAGACCCCTCCTATGCCCTAGCTGACTCTGCACCTTGGCTGCTCTTGACTGTAGGTGTGCGTGTCCCAAGGGCCAAGGGTGGTGGCCGGTGACAGGGTCTTCCTCGTCCCCCGCTGTCGTCTCCCTCTGTCCCACCCATGGTGATGCAGCTCTCCTTTCTCCCTGCGTCAGAGAGGACGGTGGCTGATGGTGGGCAGGGTGCTGCACCCTGTGGGCCAGGGGTGGGAGTCCGGGTGCCAAGTTAGGATGCTGGGGTCACATCCAGGGCTTGGGTCACTTGGCTGCCCTGAACCTGCATCTTCTTCCCTGTGAAAAGGGGAGCTGGGGTTTGCGTGCAGTGAGGTTGTCCTCGGGGCACCCAGACACTGCAGTTCACAGCAGACAGTGGCAGGGTCATGGGGCATCACAGGCTGGGAATCTAGCGGAAGGGGGAGGTAGCATGTGAGGTGCTTGGTGCCCACCTGGGCCAGAGACAAGCTCTGTGAATGTGCGGGTGTCGAGGCAGGATATGGACGGCGGGCGTGGGTCCGCCTGGCGCGCACTTCGGAGCTGTCGGGAAGGAGATGGGTCGGGCCCAGCAAGCCTTCCTCGCTGCCTGTTCACGGGCAGCTCTGGCCAGCGCCCACGGCCCTCCAGCTGGCCGCAGCTGGGAAGCAGCTGGGAGGTGGCCCCACCAGGCCTCGGGGGAGGGGAAGCCGATGTCTCACCCATGATTGCCCCAGGGCTGAGAGCCCCCTTTTCCTGAGGTCACGCAGCCCTTTTGCAGGCCCACTGCCATTTCCGCACCAGCCTGAGCCTCGACCCTGGCCAGGCTGGCCCACTGAGGACCCTGTGTGCCAGGCTGGGAGGCTCCGAGCACCCGTATTCGAGTGCTGCCTCGACCATTGGCCCTTCCGTGGGGCCTGCAGGCTGGAGGAGGCTTCTGCAGGCAGGGGGTGGGCAGGAGGCTGGTGGGACTCACACTTTTGGGGCTGAAAGCTCCAGCTCTTGACCGGTGGGGGGCCTGGCTCCCAGCCTGGGGTCTGTTCACAGATCATTCCGCTCCACATGGTCATCCCAGAGGCCAGGTGAGCCTCCCCAGAGGCACCTGAGCACTGAGCATCAACCCTATTCCCGTCGCTCAGGCCCAGGTTGGGTCTTGGCTCAGCTGTGCACACTCCGACAGGCCACTGGGCCTCTCGGAGCACGGGGGACATCATGCCCACAGGGCCAGAGGGCCTGTGGGTGACGCAGGCAGAGCTCCTCGGGAATGTCTCGCTCTCTCCTCGCTGCAGAAGCCTCAAGGGGAGGAAGGGGGAGCTTGGGAAATCATTGTGATCCACCCACTGGCAGCGATTGGAGAACTATTGGTCGCATAAAAGGGGGTTACCTAGTAAACTTCAAACCCTGCCTTGGAGGATTTTTTGTTTTTGTTTTTCCTTTTTTTAGTTTGTGCCTACGCCTTGTCACTTCCTAAGGGGAAGTAACAGCAAGAAAAAAGTACCCAGGGAGGTCGTGGTGGAGACTGTGCCGGCTGCGCTTTTCAGATTAATCCCCTCCCCTGAGCAAGGCCTGCTGAAACCAGGTCCCTTTGTGGACCCGACAGTGCGAGCTGGGAGGACATAGGAGCCACCCACGTCTCTGGGGCCGGAAGTGGCCTAGCGAGGTGCCACCGGCTGTGTCCATAGCCCTCGGGCACAGAGGCCAGCCCATCCTTTCTGCCACAAGGCTTCACTGACCTCCCCCCCCCACTCCACCCTTCAACCCCCCCCCCGCCCAGACAACAGAAGTTTGTTTATTATAAAGCCCCCCAACAGACAGAGAAAAGCACAAAAGAAGAAACGGCCATTCACAGTCCAGCGACCCACAGACAAGTCTTGTCAATATTTTGGTATTTATTCTTCCAGCATTTTTTACATGCAAGTTTCTTCTTATATTTCTTAGTCTAAGGCTGAAATTACAGTGAATATTTTTTGGTAGCTGTTCTTTTTTTCAATTAATGCATTATGAGACTTTCCCACATCATTAAGAATTCTTATAGGATGTAATGGCTACATGATGTTCTATCATAAATAATTTATTTAACGAGGTTCCATGTTATAGTACCTATATTGACAATGTTTCGCCCCTTCAGTCCACGATTACCTCCTTAGGATAAATGTCTAGAAATTGGGTTGCGGGACCGAAGGGCCTGCACATGTGCCAGGCTTCTGACGTGCATTGCCAGCTGTGCCCCCAACCCCCAGAGGTGGCTCTAATTTATACTCCCACCAACAGTGAATGAAACCTGCATGTTTCCCCAAGCCATGCCTTTAAACTGATGCAATATAAGTTAAAAATAGATGTGTGTATGCATGTGCATAAATTTGTATCTTGTTTCAAATTTAGGTGTGTGTACGTATGTTTTAATTTAAGATGTGTAGTTTTAGAGATTAAACTAGCGCTGAAAGGTTTCAGTAGTTCTAACTGCCACCTTGTGGTAGACTTTGGAATTGCAGGTATAGCATTGAAAGAAAATCACCGGGTTTGAGAGTTTCCAGATCTGGGCTGGTCCAAGGACAGTAGATAACAGGGCATCAGCCTCAGAGGGGAATTTTGAGCTCAGAACACTGTGAGTCCAAGATGGGGTCTGCAGAGGAGCACTGGGCACAGCACTCTTGCATTTGAGGGGAGTAATCGACACGTAACATCGATAAAGTGAATTTTCCATCTCCTAACTAGCAGGCTTGACTCTGTTCAACAAACCCGTGAGGCATGTCCCAGCCTCTGCTGAGTGCTGGGGCCACATAGAGATGGGCAAGAGCCAGTCACAGGCTTTGGGAGCCAGTGCACAATGGGGCAGAGCGGGAGGAACAAGCCAGCCTCACTGTGACTTTCCTGGAGGTTTCATATCGTGGTCCCCTTTTTTCTCTCAAATGAAAAGGTTTGTCTCGGAGGCAGGATGTGAATCTCGCCCGTCCCTTGACTTTTGTCCAGAAAGCACTAGAATGTCACATTATCTCCTGTTCACACCATAAACATCGTTACTCCTCCTCTTCTTTGGTGTCTGACCTTCCTGACTCTTACTGAATGACAGTGACGTTCTGGTTTGTTTTACACCTTCTGAGTGTAATTTAAACTTTTCTTGAAAAATTCATATTTGTTGCCTTGGCCAGGTGGCTCAGTTGGTTGGAACGTCGTCCCACACTCCAAAAGGTCATGGGTTCGATTCCCAGTCAGGGCATACACCTAGGTTTCGGGTTTGATCCCCAGTTGGGACGCATACAGGAGGCAACTGATCAATGTTTCCCTCTTTCTCTTTCCCTCTCTCTCTTGCTCTCTCTAAAATCAATAAACATATCCTCAAGTGAGGATTTTTTAAAATGTATATTTGGTAACATCTTCCAGGGCTTAAGATTTCTCTGCATTTGGACAGATGGGGGTGTTAGGCCACGGCCCTGGGTGGTGAGCCAGCATGCCGTCTCCTCCACCAGTGACTCTGTACCGGGGTTCTTCTGGGTCTTTGGACCAGCACCGATCAAGAGGGACCAGGCCTCTGCCTGTGGTGGAAAGGAGATAAGCAGCAAACACATAAACAAGCAGGCCAACTTGGCAGCTTCAAGCAGTAACTCTCCAGAGAGAGAACAAAGCCGGGATGTGATGCGAGACTCGGCCGGGTGGGTGGGCTTCACTTGGGTGGAATAACCCAAAGGCCCTTGGGGGTGAAGATGTCCTGTGAGCTGAGGCTTGAGTGAGGTCAGAGATGCTGCGATCTCTGGGGAAACAAGCTCCT